TCTTTAGATCCTTGAAACCAACTTTGAAAAGACAAGCGTGGTTCTTTCGAATTTGCTCGGGTTAGTTTCGTGATTCTAAGTTTTCTTTGTTAACTATGAAAAGGATAAATAGTCATGAAAAAGGTATTTCAACGTGTTGGTTCATAGGACACACATTACCAGATTCTCCATAACTGACTCAAGGAAAGTTAGTTGGCGGCTACGTTTAATGATTATAATGTTTAAAAAATATGATTTGCCCCCATGATAAGAATTTTTAAACTCTATCACGTAGCCTTTTGTTAATACCACATTATTTTCCAAGTTATCCTTAATATCCCGACCGTTGCTGCTATCTTGACGTAGTGATCAGGTTCGTCTATCGGGATGAACCAATCGAGCTATACCGACTGAAACAATTATTTATTATTTATTTGAACACATGAATATTGGTACAAGAAAGCGCCAATATATATGCGCCACACAAAACAATGGGAATTCGAAGAGAAATAGAAAGAAAGAAAAAAAAAAAACTAAGGAGCGCAAAAAAAAGAGAACAATAACAAAGAGGTTGGTGTAAGGTAGTGTGGTAGTAACGAGGGAACAGCAAGGTACAATCAGAAGAAATCTTTCAGGTAAGGGAGACACAACCACTTTTTATGAAGAAAGTAAAAGAAGGTTACAGCAGGATCGCCACTGGCTTCTATTCTGAGCCATATCTGATAACGTCTCTAGCCACTGTGTAGCACCATCTCTCAGACCCCAACCAGGGAGTCGTGAAGGACCGACAAAAGCCAGTCCTTTGCAGCTTTCTTTCATACCACGACACCATGTCATGCACTGACCACCTCTCCGCTTCTTCCAACCAGTCCCAGAGTCGGCAAATAATGCACGACGTGGAATTCTCTGGGACGACATTCGTAGAACATGTCCAAGCCACCGAAGTCGGTGTTTCAAGATGGTGACACCAATTGAATTATCATCTCTGTGCCCGAACACACGATGCCGAACCTCTGCATTACTGACATGGTGTTGCCACTGAATGTCAGCAATCCTTCGGAGACAGCGATGATCGAACACAGAGAGTCGTCTAACGTCCTCAACTCGGAGAGGCCAGGTTTCACAAGCATAGAGCAAAACTGCTCTCACCGACGCGTTGTAGATCCGACCTTTTACAGCCAGACTAACATCACGAAGGCGCCAAAGGTGGCCCAGATTGGCATAAGCCGCTCTGGCTTTCACTATACGTGCATTGATCTCATCACTCACACCCCCACCAGCACTTATGCAGCTACCCAGATACACGAACTTCTCGACTACGTCTATCTGCTCACCATCCAGGGTGAGTACAGGATTAGAATCCTGCCAGTCTTGTAGAAGTACTTTGCACTTCGAAGGTGCAAAGCACATACCATACCTACGGACACTGATTGCCAACTGATTAAGTGCGGATTGCATGCCTTGGGCATTATCGCACAGTAAGACAATATCGTCCGCATACTCAAGGTCGAGAAGTCTTTCTCCAGGCAACAGATCCACACCACCATTACTTACATTCATCAGAGCTGTTTCCAGAATGTCATCGATGGCAAAGTTGAAGAGGAATGGTGAGATTGGGCAACCCTGCCTAACCCCACTGCTCGAATGGAACAATGGAGAGAGGTGGTTGTATGCCCTCACTCTGCCTGAGGTGTTTTTATATAGGGCTTTTAGGATGTTAATAAACTTCTCAGGCACACTGAAACAATAGTTCGTCAAGGTCTTACCATTCCAGACAGGTCGGCTGAAGAACAGTAAGACTAAAAGCAGTAAACCCAGGATCCGAAGGCGATGTCGTACTGTTGATTGCACGGAGGTGTGACGGCAGTAAGGTGTTTCAGACAACCAGTATAACAGCGATGATACCTTCCCACAAGGAGGGGTGTGTTTAGAAAAGGTCAACCCTAAAAATACACACCTCGCCTTATCTCACGGATATCCGTCTCCGGCGGTAAGGTTTCAACAAGTACGGAGCTAACACGAAAATTGTTCACAAAAGGGTCGTGTGTGACCGACCTCAAGCAGTTGTCTCTTGGACATTGCGGTCACGCTCTCAGGTCGCTAAGGCCACTCCTAACCCAATTTCATTTCCAGGTACCTACCTCTAGAAGGGCTTTTTCACGATGTGGACAACCAAAAAGTGAAAACCGCCCTCATACCACTAACAGCACTCAAGACCACTGTATTCATAATCAATTTTCCTCTTCAATTCCTGTTATTCCCCCTACCTTGACCATAAACTCTAAACTTCCTCTTTTGACTTCCTCCTCAAGCGTCACCATCGTCAACGATTCTACTGCACGAAATGCTGTCCCAGGTCTACTGAAGCCTTGCTTCAAACTACACATTGGAGCCTTCAATGTACGCACCCTATGCCAAATCGGCCAACGGGCCTCCTTGGCTAAAAGCTTAAGATCTCGCACCATTGATGTATGCTGTGGCTCTGAAACACGCATACAGGATCGTAGTGTGGTCGTTCATTTGACCTCACCTCGCCAAAACGTAGAGCCGACAAGATACACTCTTCGTGTATCTGGCGACCCGATGGCAGGTTCTCGTGGACTGGCAGGTGTAGGCATAGCATTAAACACGAGGGCAGAACAATCGCTAATAAAATGAGTCGCCTATTTACTGTCTGACTAAACGGCTCCGTAAGAACTCGGATGGATAAGGACACACGTCGTTGATTTTTCGTCGTTTCTGCTTACGATCTCATTGACTGGAGCCTGGATGAAATGAAAAGTGAATTTCGCAGAAAGCTTTCTGAACTTCTTCAGAAAGCTAAACGCTCAGACATAGTACTCGTAGCAGGTGACTTTAATACCCAGGTGGGTAGCTTAAACCAAACAGAAAGACATTTAGGTGGGTAGTTTAGTATTCCAGCTCAGTGAACAGATAATGGTGATAATCTGCTGCAACTGTGCTCAGACAACCGTTTTTTTTAGCTAGCACCAATTTCAAGCATAAGGAGAGACATCGTCTAACATGGCAACCCCTTGCACCAAACCAACGATGGAGTCAAATAGACCATATTGCCACCAATGATCGTTGGAGAGGCTTGGTAGAAGACTCGCTCGTTCTGGAATACCTGTCTGAACTCCGAGCACGCATTTGCTTGCGCCTCGCTGGACGCAGAAAAACCACATTAGGAAGACCCATTAGAGTTGAAGTCAGCGACGAGTAAGCCAAAAGTGAATTTCAGGAACAACTGAGGTCACACTTAGAAAGTTCTGAAAACGAGGCTGTCTCAGATGTTGCTTGGAAAGATATACGGACAGTGATTTGAACCAAATAATTACGAAAAACCAATAGATTCCTACAAAGTCTATTACGCTGATAGATTATCGTAAACTTATCCCATCAGGTTCTGAATACAATGAAGAGCGAAAACAAATCAGATCTAGGTTAACCAAAAGTCTAAGGAACGACCGTAAGCAGTGGTGGGTTATGAAAGCAAGAGAGTTGGAAAAGACGGCGACTGTATGTAACACCATACAGCTTTTCAGACTAATAAAAGAAACTGGAATTAATAAGTCAAGTGTAAGTGAGACGATCTTGAAAAAAGACAACACTTACCCGCTCTCAGTCCAGACGTTTAGAATGATGGAAGGAACACTTTAAGAAGCAGTTCGGTTGGCCTTCAGCTACTCTACAACTACCCATCCTTCCCAAACAGCCTGAATGGAACATTAAAGTAGGTCCCCCGACTCTAGCAGACGTTCAAAAGGTTATAGCTAATCTGAAATGAGGAAGAGCAGCTGGTTCGTATTCTGGGTTTGCTACTTTTAGTCTTACTGTTGTTCAACAGATCTGCCTGGCATGGTAAAACCTTGAGGAACGATTGTCCCAGCCAGTATAACTCGATTGGTTCATCCCGATAGGCAAACCTGATCACTACGTCAAGGTAGCAGCAACGGTTGGGGAATTCTCGTTTGGCTTTTGTCTACTTACGTCATCTATGGCGAAAGCGATATATCCGTCTATCAATTAATAGACAAGTATACTGCACAGCAGTTCGTTCCGTTCTGTTTTACGGCTGCGAAACGTGGCTATTAAAAGTATATGTTCGTAAGTTACTAGTATTTGACCACAGATGTCTTAGAAATATTGCTCGTATCTGCTGGGGTCACCGGTCAGTAATAGTGAGGTTATATCCAGGATATCAGGGAATGATGGTTAATAAGTTGGTGAGGTTGTGAATCTATATCGACTGAGATGGTTGGGTAACGTGTTACGTATTCCTGAACAGCGATTACCACGGCACGCAATACCAACTAGTTTTGGAGACGGATGGAAGAAAGTTAAGGGCGAACAAACGGAGATGTGGCATCAGTCCTTGAAGTCACTAACCTCTGGCGTGAGCCATGTTGGTAGATGCAGAATACTTGGTTGGGGTCCGCGTGACTATCATAACCAATGGTTGGAGACTCCGGGTGACATGGCTGAGAATCGATCACAGTGGCGTAGGTGTATACACTCTTTGTCTTTCATTAAACTGAGATTAAAATTACTTTATATCTTTCTTTTCAAGAACTAATTCTTTTTTTCTTGTACTATATCCTTATACACAATCTTTCTTTTATATATTACTACCATTGAAGTAACTACCTTTATGAATTTGCTGATCATGTTGTTGTGCTTATGAGGTGTGGCAACTTGAACCGATGCATATATGTGCCTAGTCCTACGTTGTGGCTGACTGAGTGTAGCTTAAAACGCTTGTAATGCCTAATATGTATAATTGTGTAGCATCATTTTAGTTGCAGTGGTATTACATTTCTGTTAAATCTGTCACCACAAGCTACCAGACAGCTTACTCTGCTGTTCCCCAGCAGCTCTACTCAGTGTTATATAACACCATCATTGGGACAAATTAGTTGGTAAATTCGATATAATTTACGTGATTCATGTTGTCTAATGTCAAGGTTGGAATTAAGGTTATCTAATACGTTTATTCAAACACTTTGATTTTTTTTAGTTTTATGAATTCTGGTCATAGCAGACTTCAACTAGAAGTTCTTCGTTTGTATCGAAATTTTATACGAACTGTTGATTTGTTGCAGTTCAAGTCCAAGTTAGAAAATGGTACTAGCAATGTGAATAACGGTTCCAACTTTGATCAACTCAAAGAGTTTATCCGTTCTGAGTTTCGATCTCAAGCAAGTGCCTACAAAAAGACTGATATTTTTGGTATAGAGGCAGCACTACGTCGTGGTCAGAGACGCCTTGAAGATATTAAGTCTGGAACTGTCGTAGGCATTAGAAAAATATCCCTCCAAAAGGAACAATGACAAACAGTAGACTGGCCGGAAAACTCAAACGTTTTGTCGATACTCTTAACACAGATCGAACAAACTATGTAGCTTCTTTTGCTTATGGATCTGTCGTTTTTCCACAGAAGGACAGAACATCAAGTAATTCACTTATTGATATAATTATAATTGTTCGTAATCCTGTGGAATGGCATCTGAAAAATATTTCTGAAAATCCTAATCACTACAATTTTTTATTTCGGAATTATGCCAAAAAGTACCAGTCATCAAGCCTAGAGGTGTTTCTTCCTCGTATTCCCGGTCCCAAAGTCTATTACAATCCGTTTATTGAATGGAGTGATCCACTTGATAATACCAAACTGTCGTTTAAATATGGTGTAGTTTCATTGGATAATCTACTCACCGATTTGTGTGATTGGTCACATCTCTACTTAGCTGGACGCCTACAAAAGCCTGTATTATGGATTCCTAGTGGGTCTGATCTCTCTTCACCCCAGGTTTATGATGAAAAATTGTGTGTATCACAAAACAAGAATCTACTTGCGTCCATATCTTACTCAATTTTACAAAATTATCCGACGAATTTCCCATTGAATGAATATGACTTATTCTACACAATTTCTTCAATATCTTACACTGGAGATTGGCGAATGATTATCGGTGAAGATCGACAGAAAGTAAGGCGCTTAGTGTCTGGTGAAAGCCGATTATCTGAATTTCGCACGCTTTATAATAATACATTGGATTCTCTCCAACTATACGGTTTTTCTCTTAAACCATCTTCAAAATCTAATCTCTGTAAAAATGAGTTGCATTGGTTTAAGCCATGTAACAATGAATCTGAAAATATTTTTCAACTTTGAAAAATATCCCGATCACATATGTTTACTTTCTGTTCAAGAGACTTGGAATCATAATTCTAATGATGCTCGAACATTTTTATCAAATTTATCGCATACAGATAGAAATAAACGGTTACAAAATACTTTATCTAATATAGTCAGAAAGTCTAGTCTATATCAAACTGGTTTAGGTTTAGTTTCCGCTGGACCTAAACGATCTTTAAGATATGCATTAGCAAAACTTAATAAAATGTTTGCTAGTTTAGGATTAATTAAATGGAGCTAGTTGTTATTATACTGTTCAGTCTTATTTACTTCATATCACGATGTTAAATATTTTTTAGTACTGTATCCCCCTTGTGTGTGATTTTTTGAATGACATTTTGTTTACTATGACTGCGTTTCTTAATAATTTCTGTTATCTAACAGTTTAGTCATTTGAGTTATTTTCGAAATTTTCATGCCCTTATGAACATTAATGTACCAGAGAAATAAAACGATAAGTCTGATTTTTTTAAAATATTTTATCAGTTTCTGTTAAAATTTTATAACTTACAAAGATGAGTCGTAGTGAACGAACGTTCAGCTGAGGACAACCAATCTATTGTTTAATAAAAATTACAGGGTACTTTTGCAAAATGTGAAAACCATACACTAAATACTTCATTAGAAAACCTTCCATCAACTGCCCTTCATCATTCTTCCAATTCTCAATACCTTTATATTCCCCTTCCTGTTTTCTTTAGTCCATTCTTCTCAACTTTCTTTTGACAGGCATTCCACTTTTGATCGCTGTTACATACTACTTATGTCTATCGACGTAAATAGCATAAATCACAGGGTCAGTTCATACATTACACTTTCAGTGGAGAAAATACCTAAAACTGTGTGTCAAGAGTGATAACTGGAAAAAAATAATGGGAATAAAACTACAAGGTGTACTCTAGTTACCACATAGTGAAGAGGGAACTTATCTTCATTATTGGTGAACTCTTCAAATATCGATTTCTAACATAAAACATCCGACCAGAAGTCCTTACATGATTCCCACCAATATAAGTGATGATATGGACAAGTGCCATGTCTTGAACATATTAAAATTCACAGTTTCTGTTAAACCACCTATTATTCCACACAGTTACTAATGAACTGTTCTATTAATAAATATAGACGAAAATTATTTTCCTATACATTTTTATGGAAATTGGTTGTTATTATCTTTACATACAATCAGTCAGTCAAGATAAAGTTCTTAGCAAAGAAGAACACAGTTATCAGTTCAAACTAAAGATGAAAATTAGTAACTGAATGTAAAGGAAATACGAGATATGAATTCAGGATTATGATTTGAATAACTCTTTTAGCTAGGATTTTCGAATGTTCAGTGAATAAACTAGGTCAGTTGACATTGAAAGAATAGTAATCGAAATAATTATGAATAACGTAGGATAAGAAGAACAATGGTGTTAGATAATCAATCACAGATTACACAATGATATGAATTGGGTAAAAGGTCATAAGATCGATTAAGTGGTAAATAAATCAGTCCATTCAAGAAACTAGCCATAAACTACATTTTGATTGAAATCCATGGGTTCTTCCTTTATCTATGATCAATATTTACCATTAATTGTTTGAAAATTCCATCGTATCTGAAACAGATATATGAACGAATAATGTTCTTTTTGTTAGTATGGTGTTGTGAGGATTGTTGAATTCCTATAAAATCATGAACTAATCTAACTTCAGCTTAGGTCCTACAGTACTACATAGCAGGATATGAATTTAAGATTATTGGTAAGGCAAAATGAAATGATTAATGTAGAATGATAGCTTGAATACGTTTGTAAGCTAGTTGGATATGGGGGATTAGTAATCGGAATAAATATTTAAACAAACTCCGAAACATGCTGTCAATTACATGTGCTCATTAGTGACCTTCAAGACGAAATCTCCTCATTTCTAGCAAGAAACCGTAACCAATGAAGCCAAACTGTGTCGGATGTGATGCAGTTACTCAACGAAGATAGTGGAAGGTGGTCGCGTAATTCCTCTGATTGATTGGAGATAGACCATGGAATCCCGTCTCATTGGTCTAGAGGTTAAGCGTTCGAGCGCGAAACCGTAGGTTGTGGATGCACACTTATGAGTAGTCCCTTACTGGGACAAGACAGAAATTCAGTTCTGTTCTAACTTAAGTCGGTTCATGATTTCAATGAAATATTTTAATGGCCCGGGATCTGACTTCATTTGACTCATTTCTGATTGCTATCAAATAACTGCTGTCGAAACATACATCCTAACTATTCTCGTATGTCATTATCGACTTAAATCGCGCTAATGAATAACGAAATTCAATAAGTCAAATACGAGAATTAATTTCGAATATGTAAATTCATGTAATCGTCGATCCAAACAATAGAGCGAAGAGGAATGACGTACAGTGGAGGCGTATGAGCCAACTCAATATTTATAGCCAGATAAAAATAAGTCAGAGACATGTGATGAATAGGATAAGAATTGTATACACATACACTCATATAAAATCAGCTAGGGTTGATAAATGGTTAATTAACAAGGTCAAAACGTGACTCAAGAAGAATGGATTAACTGGTCTGTCCAGAAGCTAGAATAACTTAGATGGGATTCAGGTAGTAACCGACACTACAAGGTAGAGAAAATAGAGTGGTAGGAATTGTAATTAAAAATGAGGTCAACTGTCTGGTCGAAGATTACACAGTGTATAGAATGTCGTTAACTGAGCAAGAAATAATAGAGTTTTAGTTGGATTTGTCATCTGTTTACAAGATTCACAATGGTAGTAATACTAAGGTACGTGAATAATGATAATAATATTTAATCCGTACAAAATTTATGAAAGCAACAAGGGAAGGCCGTGTATACATTAAGATGGTTATTAAATTATTGGCCCTTAAGATAAAAGAAGCAGTTGGACACATTTCTTCTAGAAACAAAGCTGCGAAATTTTATCCCAGTAGCTATCGTCCCTATCTTTTGTAGAAGAACGGAACTAAGAAAGTTTGTATGTTGGCCTGTCCAGGTACTTTCCTAGTTCAATTTACTTTGCAATGATCTTATCTACTCTCTTCGCACGTGCAATATCTAAGCAGGCTATTATATTTCCATTTTAATCCTCACATATGAACTTAGTTAGATATTCTGAGTCTCCAAATGGTCAACACTACAACTTATAAGCTGCTTACCGACTCGTTTCTGTCGAGTTATGAACACCTAGAACTGATTTAGATAAAGCACGCGATTTATGTACTTTGAGTAAAAGACTTTATAAGCTTTATTGTTCCGTATAAATTTGATAAAAGTATTTTTTGACTAGTGAGCTTCTTCAAAGATATGGTAATATCGTTTTCCATTTTATCAGGTTAGTTAATTTACGAAATTTTAATTTTTCACTTAGGATATTATTCATTTTATTATATAATCTGTTATATCCTAACGAAGAATAAACGAATGATAAGCGTTAGGAATTAATTATGGACTGATATTATACGTATATTCTTATTATATGTATATCCATATTCTTTTCACTATAAGCTTTTATTTGACCTATTGGTTATTACATGATTCACTATTCTCAAGTTATTCCCAATCTATTAGTGACAGTTTCTCACAATCACATCCATTTTTGGCTTGACCCTGTACAAATGTTATTTTCTGTCTTACGGTGTGATGTGGTCTGATTTGTTTGTATATAAACCCAGTATGTTTAAAATATATGATTCGTATCGCGAAGGCTGAGATTGGAGTTCTGGACGTAACAGGCAGGGCTAGATGGGAAACGACCAATCGGGACTCCAGGCTCCCCGTACTGGTGTATGCGTCATTAGTTTAGTCGTATAAGTCAGCGTATCTAAATTGGCAATCGTATTTGCGATAATCGTATAAACTACGGACATAACATAGTCATTTTTTGTTAAGAGGAACCATTTCTGATCCTTTATCCGGTTATCAGAAATTACAGCAGCAGTTAAGAATCAACTAATGTGCAGATTCAGAAAAATGCATTAATTATGTATAAAGATTACATTGTATGGAAGAAAAATGGACAATAATTCTTAAACTTTCAAAATATGCTAACTAGTGACTGGCTTCAAAGGGTATATCCTGGAGTTCTAGTGAGAAGCAGTGATCAGTGGAGTTCAACCGGGTCAGTTGTGAGATAGTAACTCACTGACGACAATGGTGGATGTGTCACTCAATTTCGTGGGTTAGTTGAAGTTAGACACTAGCGCCGTTGGATGTCGGTTGGCTCAGTGGTCTAGTGGTTAAGCGCTCTCGCGCGAGAATAATAGGTCCTGGGTTCGAATCCCGCCAGACGGGGTCGTGGATGCGCACTGCTGAGGAGTCCCGCAATGGGACGAAACGGCCGTCCAGTGCTTCTGCGTTTCTAATTGTGGTCTAGCTTCAATTGACTTATGATCTCAACTATTGAAATTACTAAAATCTACACATACCCCCTTCCGATACTTCTATTCATGAAAAGAAACACCAAGTGGGAATTAATATCAGAATAATAACATGATCAAGAAATAAAAACAGTTCAAGTATTTCTTTTAGATCTAAAATGAAAGATTGAAAATACCTTGATACATTTAATTTGTAAGGTAGGATAACAAAACTGATACATTTGAATATATATGTAACAAATCGACTTAAAATACTTATAATACCATATAATTAGGCTTTTTTAAAAAATTCCACGATTTTTGTTCTCTTTTCTTTCTGTTATGCTTCAATTTTTAATTGTTTAACTCTTATCGTTTACGTCTAATTCATAGGGTAGATTTACAGGAAGAAATTCTGAATAGTAAATGTGAATGGGATATGTATATCAGATGAATAATTATTCAAGTCAATTTTCAAGCTTCATTTCAAATTGAATAAATTAAGGTACAAAATATTTTCTTTAATGTCATAAATCTATCATCAATGTTACAGTTCTCAACATTTAACTTTATATTTTACTTATAATGTATAATAAATGTAAACGTTTGAATTTATGGCCTATCTAATATTGATTGAGGATAATTTACTACTCAATTAGATAAAGTAGTCATTTTATCTAACTCAGAATAAATTGATAAATTGATCAGATAGATAAAAAGGTTTTATGAAGTGAAAATACAAAATGAAGAATATTTGAGCGAACAATTGTTTTCAATAACTTCATCATCAGGCTCTACAGTTATAAGTCCATAATTATAATATTTTACAAAGGCCAAAAATAAGGCATGTATTAATGAATTT